CATTTGAAAAAGCTTGAAATTTTTAAAACATGCAAATGCAAGCAACATTCTAATGGTTTCTAAACTTGCAACCGGGGCATAGACTTCATCATAATCAATTCCTTCTTCTTGACTATACCCTTGAGCTACCAACCTAGCTTTGTTTCTAACAACATTCCCATGCTCATCCATTTTATTCCTAAAACCCCATTTGGTGCCTATAGTAGGGTGATCACTAGGCCTAAGTACAAGATTTCACACTTGGCTTCTTTTAAATTGGTTTAATTCCTCTTGCATGGCTAATATCCAATGATCATCTCTTAAGCCTTCATCTATATTCTTGGGTTCAATATGAGATAGAAAAACAACATAATAACACATATTATAAAAAGAGCTAGTTCTTACCCCTCGAGTTGGATCACCAATAATCTCATTATCTTTGACATATCTCTTTTCTCTACGGTGATTTGGTTCTTTCTCTATATGCTGTGGTTCTTCTAGAAACCCATCATCTTCTTTTTGAATGTTCTCCTCAATGTCTTGTGATGCATCATTGATATATTCTTGAAGTATACCTACATCATCATCAAGAGGCACCTTTATCGAAGGTGGATTAGATTCATTAAAGATAACATGTATGGACTCTTCAACAACTAATGTTCTTTTATTAAATACTTTATAGGCTTTTGAATTCAAAGAATATCCTAAGAAAATCCCTTCATCACTTTTTGCATCAAATTTTCCAAGATCATCTTTTCCTTTGCTCAAAACAAAACATTTGCAACCAAATTGATGAAAATAACTTATGTTAGGCCTTTTTCTTTAAAAAGTTAAAAAGGAGTTTTTTTCAAAATTGGCCTAATCATAGCTCAATTTATAATATAAGAAGAGGTATTTATGGCTTCCGTCCCAAAAATATCTAGGTAAATAATTTTCACAAAGCATGGTTCTAGCCATTTCTTCTAAAGTTCTATTTCTCCTTTCTACTACCCCATTTTGTTAAGGAGTTCTAGGAGTAGAAAAATTGTGGCTAATACCATTTTCACTACAAAACATATTAAAGCCAAGATTTTCAAATTCTTTTTCATGATCACTTCTAATACTAGAAATTGAATAACTTTTTTTCATTTTGTATTTGTTTGCTAAAAGTGATGAATTTTTTAAAAGCTTCATTCTTTGAATGCAAAAAGAGAACCCATGTGAATTTAATAAAGTCATCAACAATAACAAACCCTTATTGTTTTTCACCAAGAGTCATTGTCTTAGTAGGACCAAAAAGATCAATATGAAGTAGTTGAAGAGGTCTAGCAGTTGAAATGCAATTCTTAGGTTTGAAAGAAATTTTTCTATGTTTTCCTTGAGCACATGAATCACAAACTTTGTCATTTTTATATTTCAAATTTGGTAAACTAAAAACCAAATCATTTTGAGAAAGTTTTGAAATTACATGCATACTTGCATGTCCAAGTCTTCTATGCCAAATCCAACTTTCATTTTCTTTTCGAGCAATAAAACAAACATTTTTAGAGGAAAGATCATCTAGATGCACTACATAAATATTTCCTTGACGATGTCTAATAAAAACAAGTTTGTTAGTTTTGATATCAATCACTTGACAGCACATGTATTCAAACACAACTCTAAGTCCTTTGTCACATAATTGACTAATACTAAGTAAGTTATGCTCGAGTCTTTTTACAAATAAAACATTTTTAATAGTAGTAGAAGAATTGTTACCAATGGAGCCAATGCCTTCAATTTGGCCTTTAGAGTTGTCACCAAATGTAACATCTTCTCCACTTTTAGCTTAAGTTCTTAAAAAGAGTTTTGTCTCCGGTCACGTGTTTTGAGCATCCACTATCAAGGTACCATGGATTGTTCTTGCTTGAATTTGCTTTGTAGCAATGCTCATCCACCTACAAAAAGCACAATTAAATTTTTGTTTTGGGTAGCCAAACTTTCTTGGGTCCTTGAGTGTTAGTGCTAACAATTTTTGTGCCTTTTGGAATCCACTTCATTTTAGTAATCTCATCTTGAGATGTGCTAACTCCTTTTAGAATCCACACTCTCCTAATGAGCTTACCTCGTGACTTTCTTCAAGGAACAATATTGTATAGAATGACCCAATTTATGACAATATGCACATATGCTAGATGAATCATTTGGCTTAACAAAGAAATTCTTTAAATGAGTCTTTTTGTTGCCACCATTATAGCCTAATCCATCTTTATCAAAGAATGCTCTTTGTGTTTCAAGCATGTTATTGAGCTTTTGATGTCTCATATAAGATCTAGAAAATGAGTTATGCAAATTTTCATTTTTTCTAGTCAAATCATTGACATTCAACTTTAAGAGCTCAATTTCCTTTTCGAAGTCATCTTTTGCTTTAGTCAAGAGTTTATTTTCTAGTTTCAACTTAGAGATCATTTTCCTATATTTCATGTTCTTGTTCTCAAATTCTATTGCTAATTCATCATAAACATCTTGCAATTCATCAAATGTGTATGAATTTAAATCATATGGATTAGAAGTTACCTTGGGCTCATCAAGAGCCATGAGACATAAATTGGCTACTTCTTCCTCATTGGATTCATCTTCGGAGAAGTCACTATCACTCCATGTTGCAACCATTGCTTTCTTCTTTGGCTTAGTCATGTTTTGCTTCTTCTACAAAGGACAATTAAATTTAATATGACCCGGTTTGTTGCATTTATAGCAAATAATCTGCTCCCTTTCTCTTCTACTTGATTCTCCTTTAATCATTTCCCTTTGTGGTTTTCTTCTACTTGAGCACTTGTTCATCCTCATGAACTTCTTGAATCTTTTTGCAAACATGGCCATCTTTTCATCTTCATCATCCTCTTCTTGTCCAAAGACACTCTCCTCAAACCCTAGGAATTCTTGCTCCATTTTCTCTCAAAATTGATCTCTTTTAACCAAAATCTTTTGCAAATTGCTTCATTTCTACTTGGTTTTTTGTAAAAATCATCCTTAAAAATCATCAAATCACTAAAAATTCTCCACTCATTCGTCTCACTCTAGAAAATTGATCCCTTTTTTGAAACTACCACATTCACTCAATCTTCTTGCCTCTCTCAAATATATTCTACTACTTATCATCTACAATCACCAATTTCTTCATCAATTTCACATAAGCTTACCTATTTTAATCCCATTATTTTCATGGCTCTAAAGACAAGGAGGAATTCTCCAAGGGAGGCTTCTAGCTCATCAATGAGGCCTTCATTCAATTAAAATTTTGCCAATCCTGATGCCAAGGAAAGATATAAGAGACATTTTGCTCATAGAGAAGTCAAGCATGGAAGGGTAATCTCTCTTGAATTCCTACAATCTATAGAGTTCCCTTATTTACATGCATTTGAGATATTTGCATGGAAGAATTACTTGTGTATGGATGGACTTTTGTTTGAGAATTTAGTTAAGGTGTTCTATAGCAATGCCACTTGTATTGAAATTGAAGGGTCACATAGATATTATTCTAATAAATTTAGAACTTATGTGATGGGCAAAAAAATTATGGTTACCAAGCAATTGTTAGCTGAAATATTCATGCTAGATGATGAGGGAGATACCAACACTAGGTGTGATATGTTGGAACTCACTCAAGATATATTTAGAAATGACAATTTAAGAGTTGCCCCTACTCAAGCCTCCAAACTGTCAATTCATGATAGGTTGTTATACCTTATTGTCACTCATGTATTGATACCTTTTGGCACTCAATACTCAACCATTAGTAAGGAAGATTACTGGTGGATGTATAAAATCAAACATCAGGAATTGATTACAAGTTTTGAATTGACAAAACAAAAATTTGCCTAACTTGAATCAAACTCTCCTAATTTGAAATTGAACATTTTCCAACCTTTTATCTTGCCAAAATTCATTTAGGAACTAAAACAAAGCAAATTATAGAAACAAAATGGATTAAGACATATTTTGGATAGAACGGATCTATCCCCTCCCTCACCTGATCGATCCCAAAGGGATCGATCTATTTTTCTTCCAGAAGCTAAACTTGTGAAATTTTAGCAAGAAACAATCGATCCCCTCCCTATAGGGATCAATTGGTTAGGGTTATGTACTTACCCGATCAATCCTTCCCTTAAATGATTGATCTGTTCTTCATACATAATGAAATCCCCGTTTAAAAATCCAAAGGATCGATCCCTCCCTTAAAGGGATCGATTTGTTTTTCATACAAAATGCTATCCTCGTTTAAAAATCCAGAAATGGGGGCTTTCTCATAACTGACTAATCAATCCCCTACATGATGGGATCGATCCCCTGATGCCCAGAAAGCCCCAACGGCTATTTTTTTGTCTGATATTTTGCAAGTTTGAAGCATGCAAGGCAACGGCTATCAACTCCTTCCTACATATAAATGAAGGCTTCCACTGCAAATTAAGAGTATGCATAGCTAAGAGAAATTATTGCTTTCACCAACCACCTTGTTCAAGCATTCAAACTAGTTCAAAAGAGAGAAAAGTGCAGAAAATCTTTCTTGTATTAGTTTTTCTCTAAATTCTCTTATCAATACCACTTTGTACTTCAAGCTAGCAAACACTCAACCTTAGAGAAGTCTTTTAAGTTTGCATAACATTTTAGAAACTTTGTATTGTGAGATTGTGAGCTTAAAGGAGAGGATAACCCTTAAAAGTTTGTGGTGTTGATTGTGTAAAACTTTAAGAAGATAAGTTGTATCTTCAACACATAGTGGATTGAACGCCTTGGCAAGTGAGGCTAGGGAGAGGACGTAGGTGCCTAAAGAAATGACCGAACCTCTATAAATCTTGGCGTCTAATTCTCTATCTCTATCGCTTGTTTACTCTCATTTATTGTGTTTATTTGCTTAGATAAATTGTTTTGCAGAATTTGTGCTTATTAAGTATTGATTTTTGAAAATTTTATTATTAACCAATTCACCCCACTCTTGGTTTATTTCAAGTCTTTGAGCTAACAATTTCTTTTGTCATTTAAGCTTATCGTTTATCTTGCAGTTTTATAAGTGGTTTGAGGATGCGGTGGTTGCTGGCTTAAAGGAACCAAATGCTATGGCTTTGTCAACCACTGGAAAAGATAGAAAACCGTATGCTTCTCTGCTTTTACTACAATCATTGCTCTTTATTCATACTCTTTTTTTCATTTTCATTAACCTTAATTCCTTGAAGTTGTAAAATTTGTCAGTTTGGGTTCTTGTTGCTATTCTAAGGCTACATATTATTAAGAAATAAGCACACATTTTTTAGACTCTCTTGCTGATCTTATGGAGGCACTCTCGTTTCCACTTCAGGGATGGATCCACTATGGGGCCCTTGGAGGCACCTGCTCCGAGTGGGATCCTTGAGAAAATTTGGGAACTATTTAAAAAGTGCCTAAACTTTTTGAAGAATTTTGCATTTCCTTCTACTAAATATGAGATTCGTGCTTTTAATTTGAGGTAATTGCAAAATAATCCTTATAATTTTAACTGTTATTAGCTAAACTTGTATTTTAAAATATAAATGTGGATTTCTGGTAGTTTCTCTTGTCTAAGAGTTACATTAATTAAATGGATTAAGCTGAATTAATAATGGAAAAAATGAAATAAGGCAGAGTTTTGTACTCATGAATATATTGACTAAATTTAGTTTTGGTATTACTAATACTCGCTATATTTGTTGGAATAACTTCAATAATGAAGATTGTGAAGAATCACTAGCCAAACCGAGTGAGTTATTTAGAATGAATAGTCATGACATTAAATGCAGTAAGAACAGATATGTTCGGTAGTGCTAATAATGAAACTTATCTTACATTTCAAATTTTGAAAATACGTTGAAAGAAAGTGGAAGATTTTGTTTTTATAAAATATATGTTTGGTTAATCTTTTATCCCAATGTTAGAAATTATGGTTTTATTTCTTATAAAATTGTAAATGAATAACCTTGAGGCTGTGAATGGTTATGTCTTCCACATGGTTTTTCTTTTTGAAATTTTTAAGTGCCTGAAGTTTAAAATTTTTTCCTCTGAATAAAGAGTTTATTTCATGCAACTTTATTGCTGCTAATCCTCTTCATCAACCTCTGCCACTATTCTTTTGGTTTAAACCACTTACAACCTTGTGGAGCATTGTCCTGAAATAATTCATATCTCCAGCACTTCTAGACGTCCATGTCCTCGATGAATTAGAGATGGTGATAATGACTGTCAGCAGCTTCAATTGCATTATTTGAGTACTTATTTACGTTTTGAATATTATTGGTTGACCTTTTTGCTTTCTTTTTGTTGTTTGGCTATAACAACATCTTACTGTCTGCTACAGCTCATCGAGAATGGTATTGCTAAAAGGGGTCAACAAGGATGGTTTTGTTTGGTTAGTGTTCCTTTACTGTCGTGGAACCATGTGCAGTTAACAGAGGTTTTCTGTAGTCTACTGTATATCGTTTGTGATATTTCTTAAGTCTTTACTTTAAGCAGGTATACCAATTATGAAAGTCGAAAGGCACGTGAGTTATCAGAAAATCCGCATGCAGCACTTCTTTTCTACTGGGATGGGCTTAATCGGCAGGTAGGACACTGAATTCTGGCTTGTGGTTATCCATTATGAAAGTGTTGAAGTAAATCAACTTTAGTTGATGTGAAACTATCTTTAGAAGAAATATGTTGCAAAGATGATTCTTCTCAAAAGCATGTTTCATTTTGTAACATATGACTTGCATCTGCATGCTAAGACTGAAATTATTGATTTTAGATTACCTGATTCTGATGCCAAATTCTCTGTCATTTCCTTTTCTACCCTTGATTTGTTTGATGGGAAAAATGCCCTATGGATCTTGAACAATTTTTAAGATTTCTTTTAACATAATGGACATTAGGATTTAGTGTGGTTCATGCCAACTCATTTATATACGTTTTCACTTTATTTTCAATATATAAACTTCTTGTGTTATGGTAGTATATATGGGTGTGTTATCCACATCCACAACCAGCTGCAGTTTACTCTTGATATTTTGGTTCAAGAAGTAGAACCATGACAAGTGTAGAGTAGGATTGAAGCAAGGGAGTAGTTTTTCTGGCTGAGTTAGCTTAGTCTATTACTAACCTTCAATTCTGACTATTGATTCTTTAGTCTGTCGTAAGTGACGTAGAGAGGATGGTAATCATTAAAATAAAATGGTGGATGCTGAATTTAGAAAAAAACGTTCTGTTCTTGTGCATGCAGGCATTCCTCTGTTTGTGTGTGTGTGTGAGAGAGAGAGAGAGAGAGAGTTGAATGATGGATGTTAAGTTTGATTATAGCAGTTTTGTACTTAGGCGTTGGTGCCTTCCTGCTGGAATGAAAATGTTGTTGAACGGTCTGAAATCCTGCTGGTACTTGGGTGTGCCTTGTAATTCTGTATGTTAACCAAAAGGCATAACTAACAGCTGCTTTAATGAATTGAAATGTTGCAGATGTATGTGGAAAATTGTTTTGGTCTTTTAGACATATAACTTGATTTATTGAACTTTTACCTTCCACTGTAAAATTGAAGTTTGCTGCAATATGGAATAGATTCTGATTAAATAGTAAAAATTTGTAACATGTTGATACGTATCCATAATGAAGATCCACGGGCTATAATGAACTGTGGTTTCCAGGTAAGAGTAGAAGGATCTGTGCAGAAAGTTTCTGATGAGGAATCAGAGCAATACTTTCACAGTCGCCCTCGGGGTAGTCAAATTGCAGCAATAGTTAGCAAGCAGGTCTGTGAATTAACATTCTGTTAAAATGTAGTGTAACATGGATAATTGGTCTATGACCTTTTTTCTCCCTGTAAATGTTCATTAGAAGTAAAAAGGATAGGTTTGAGAAAAAAATTAAGGATCAATTTCTTTCTTCAGAGTACTTTAGTTCCAGGACGGGATGTACTACACCAGCAATACAAAGAACTAGAAGAAAAATACTCTGATGGGTATGTTGTCTATTTTCAATGTTTCACCTGATAATTTGGTTTGTGCTAATATTCTTCTACAGCTGTGGTGCTTCAGGTTGTTTTTATCGGCTTGATTGCCCGTTACGTTTTTCAAAAATGAAGTGCTTCTACTATTTACTTCTATCTTGAATCTTGATCTAGAACCTGCATCTAATCTGTTCATCATCACAAATGACCAGAAATATTACAAATTGGAGGAAATCAGAACAAAAAATCCTTATCTTTTTCTTTATGCAGGAGTTTAATTCCAAAGCCTAAACACTGGGGAGGATACAGACTTCAACCAGAGCGTTTTGAGTTTTGGCAAGGGCAGCAGTCCCGTTTGCATGACAGGTTGTTTAATTCCATGTCTTGCTATAATAATTAGGCTGTAAAATATAAATGCAAAGAGGATTTTATCCAAAATCTATCCCAAATTGAAACCCTTCTACATTGAGTTCAAATGGAATCTGATTAATAATATGGACCATTTTGTTTGGGTTCATAGTTGGATAAATGCTATATCCTTGATAAGCAGATAACTGGATCAATTCCAAAGTAGTTTACAGTTGGCAATGCTTTCCATATTCCAATACAAGTTCACCTAAAGCAGTAAGTCGAGCAAGTCCAAGTCACTCAAAGCTCTTCCTCCCCTCCTCTGCCGTCTCTTTGTCACCCTCTGCTCCCTGCAATCCACCTCCCCCCTGCCCAAACCCAAACCACCTCTCAAAAAATTCCACAGGATAAAAATAAAAGTCTCTAGATTTGTGCAGAAAATGTGGATTTTACATTAGAGCTACATCTCACTTCACAAAATATTTTCCTTCCCTCTTGACAGATGCTCAGTTTACCTTGGAAATAGAGGACATGATTCCACTACCAGGAGCAGAATTTAAAATTTGTGGTTAAAATTCAAATGAAGGGTGGTGCAATTGGTAATAATTGTGCTATTTTGGCAGGTTGGAATATTCCCCTCAAGAGATCAATGGAAAACGAGTGTGGAGAATTGTTCGTTTGGCCCCCTGAGTAGTATATTCAGTTTCTTCACTATGAAGTTCGCCACTGTGGTAATGTGTCATTGATTTCTGTCTATTTCTAGATAAGCATCAATTGCATGCCAGTTGCACAAACCTTCTTACTTATAAGGATGTACCCTGTTGGTGGCATTCTGAGGTGTGACATTTTAAACAATAAAAAATTAACAGCATCAACTCATAACTACACAAAAGTAGATCTGAAATGTGATTGGGTTCGGAAGATGCGAGTGCATGGCATGGACAGGACCTCTTACTGTCTTACATGGAGTCATGGCTGAGGGACATACATATTCCAAAGGATGTGAAACACAAGGATAGCAAATTTGCCTTAAATTTTTTAGTGTTCTTACCCAATGCTTTATCCATTATATGTAGACAATTTGCTTGCAAAAAATTTGTTACTTTTTCTCTGTTAGCACATTCATTTCATTGCCCTTTTTTAATTGCAAATGTTAACTTATTTGGTCAAAGCCTTGCCCTATTGCTCATCACATCTTTAGCACATTTATTAAGTAATTCTTCTCTAATCTTTTTTTTTTTTTTTTTGGGTATAAGGGAGGTTGAAGCCTAGGAGAGAGAGGAAAGGAAATTATTGCGAGTGCTGGGGATGGAACCTCAACCTTGCACGAATCCACCTCTTAAATGAAGTGTGTGAACAATTTGGGCTAAGCCCTAGGCTCCTCCAATCTTCCTCTTTGATATTGCGTTCTTCACAAGTAGAACATCATTATTAGTCTATGAACATATCATTTGACAGTTTATCCTATCTAACGTCTTAGGAAATAAAGTCATGTTGGTGATCACTTTATCATCTTTTCCTTTATCCCCTTAAGCTTGCGTAGGATAACAGATTTTCTAAATTTTCATGAGCCTGAGATCATAGAATTTCTAGATACCTGTTGGTTGTATACATTTGACTAGGAATCGTACTCGTTGGCTATCCTTTCAACACAACCACTCTTTTTGCTGGCTTTGAAGATGTTGCGTGCAAAGGACAAGGACCTGAATGGCTCAATGGTCTAAACACCACAATAAGTTTTTGTGACAGTTATGATGGTAAGTCACTTTATTAGTGGATATTAAACTTTCCTTGTTATATTCCAATTTTCATGATTGAGACTGAGGTGTTTACCGTTGATAACCATCGAGGAAGAATACCCTTTGTTGTAATCATGGTTGTTTTGACACTTCCCCAGAATTGGAGCGTCTGAGTTTGCAATTTGTTAGTTGTCATTGGAAAGGTCTGCATCTGATAATTTTTGCTTTTCATTTTGGTATCTTTAGTAGGTAGGAAAAGAATGTGAAAGAAAGAGTTAGGCAACCTTTATAGGACGAAGCCTATCTGCTTTATTTCGTTTCAAATTGGTTTGATTAGTAAGCTTGTCCTAAAGCTTGGAAATTTCTTTTATGGATGCTTCACGATATTAAAATTTTGGTTTGATTGATTCTGACCAAATTGGGCTCCACCATGAAAAACAAACACCTGGGGCTCCTTTTCATGGTTCTTTTGACCAGCTTAAGCTGAAATCTGACACAATATCTTTTATATGAAAGGCCAATTTGATGCTAGGTGACTACCCCACTTTTCTTCTTCTTTTTTTTTTTTTAAGGTTTTCCCTTCTCAGTTAGTGGCATATCAAGGATCTTGGGGTTTTGGTGAAATTCAAAGACAATGAGCCCTCGGTCTCACACACATCGGCCGAAGATCCAAGAGCTAATTCAAACTATATTATATACTGTTCTACTTCTAAAGATGAAATGATTTAAAGATTCCCTCTCCCTTTCAAATCACTGGCTTGGCCCCTGTTACTATGATAATATTCGCCAAGTTGGTACAGTCTTTTTGGTTGAATAAAATTCACCATGTCATGTCTGGCTTTTTGATTCAGAGATTCAAGGAACCGTTTTCCGCGACCATTGAACCTTGAACTTGAAACATTGAGCGCCAAATAAAAATAATAGTGGAGGTTATCCCATCCGTTCAATTTGCGAACAAACAGCCATAATTATCCACTCTACAAGTTGAGGAATGCTCCATGGAAAGTACTTCTCCAAGGATCGATGCGTTAATTCTTCTATCATCTACACACATATAATCAAAAATGTTAATTCTGCTCTCATCTACTGCTTTTCATAAGCTTCAGAATTTCAAGGCCTTTTTTTTTTGGGGGGGGGGGGGGTGGGGAGAGTGGGGAATGACCAGAAGAACAAGCAGAAGTGGGGTTTCGACCAATCTTCAACTGATTGGAGAGACAAGCACATTGAAATGGATATAAAGACAGATGACCCCCCTCCCCCCTTTTCTCTCCTCTCTCATTCTCAAAGTGGAACTCAAACTTATCTTTGCTCGTTTAAAACAGTGTTTGTGAAATAGACGGTACTTTCTACCTTCAATTTTCACTGTTTTCAACCAAGCTTATACATAAGCAATTTAACCCTAATCATGACTTGATTTGTATGGACGAAGCTTCTCCACCGATATATCTATCAATTTTAATTTCATAAGATTTTGTAAGATAATTAGTGCTACTACTATTGTAGATTGCTATTTTATAGCACTCCTACTGCATTACATTTCAAACTATCTAAAAGCAATGAGGAAATATCACCCGATTACTTTTGTAATTGACTTACATAAACACAATTTTTCAGGTATATTATGCCACTTGCCATTCATTCATTTGCTAAAGGTCAGGCAAGGAATTGTAAGTTCGGAGTCGACCTCAAATATCAAAATATTAATCAAATTTTTTTATTTAATTTTAATTATAAATAAATTAAAATATTAAATATTAATATTTTAAAAAAAATTTCCACCTTTAAGATGAGTCAAATCAGATATTGGATAAAAATTTTAGAAGATCAATCAGGCCTAACTCAAACTTGACCAATAAACAAGTCTAACAGCTATGGCAATGAACTTTTTTTTTTTTGCATTAACATTATTTTCTTTGATGAAATATTTCATTGACATGGCACATTTATAAAGTAAAGTTAATTATGTAAAGTATCATTAACAAAAAAAAAAAGTGTGGGCTCATTCTCATAGTCATAGGCTCCTAGGGTTTTCTATCCATAAAAGACAGAATAAGAGCTTCAATGCATGCTTTTGTCAACACAAATAGTACCTTGGAGAGAAAGCTATAGAAGGAAAATTTCGTTTGAAATTTAAGGTTTTGGAGCTGCTCAATCTTTGACATTCGACATCAAACTGATCTCATATCTTTCTTCATTTATATATTTGAAAAAAGAAAGAAAGATGTGAACTCAATCACATAAACAGAAGATACAAATGCACGTTACAGGCTAATAGATAATATTTTCACCGAGAATTTTGAATAACAAAGGTTTTTGATAAAGACAGGTAATGGAAAGCATGCCGATTTGCGGATATACGATAAATGAAGTCAAAAATTAGGTTCACGTCAAAAACGTGCTTTTGTGTTTACGTGATTGTTATGCCCTTCACTTTCCATTATCATTAGTTATATATCTCTTTCTTCGCCTTTGTCAGCTGTGACTACATATAACCTAAAGAATTTCACTCCATCCCATCTTTGGCAACACTCTCTGTAGCGGCACATTTTTCTTTCTTTTAGGTTTCACATTTCAAATTAAAGCAAATTAAACCTGGGTTTTTTTTTTTTTTACAAAATGTATATATACATTTGTTTATATTCTTTAAATGGTCAAGGATTAAATCTTAATTATTAAAATTAAAAATTTAATATTTTATCAACAATTATATGATAACTAATATTATACAATTTTTTTTTTTTATATAACTTCGTGTGATTGCAAAGTTTGCACCAACAAAAACAAATTTTGTAAAGAAAAAAAGAAGAGGGAGGGTGTTCATTTAAACTTGGTTCATGGGAAAAAGCAAGATCAATCCTGGAAATAGTGCAACCAAAAGGGTGCTGTACTAAAGTCCAGTCCAGTATGTGCATAATTAATTAACTAATTGATTAAACAAAAAAAAATGGGGGAAGGAAGATATTTTAATAAAGTGGTGCAGCACGAGAGAGAGCACACTTTAGTGGTTGACCACCTCGTGCTTAGTTCAGCCACGAATGCGTTTAACTCATTCATTTTTCCTTTCTTTTCTCATCTTCACCAACTAATTTCTTTATTTCTTTTCTGTTTTATTTTTATGGGTTTCTGGCCACTCCACCAACTGGGTTTTTGCTTGAACCTTATCTGCCCAATCAGTTTGGTTTCGTTGTTTGTTATATTTGTTAATAGATATGGTTAAAACTATATATTTGTATAGATTAGTGCATAAATATTTACACATGTATTTCAGCATACTTTTGTTTGATAATAATAAATAATGTACCCCACCTCCCATACTCTACACGTAGCCCACACATTGAATTGAACTGATGGTGGGTTTCCACCAGTCAGTTCAAAGTAGCCTAACTTTTGTCATTCCAAAAGAAGGTTAGTTTAGTAGGTCTATTATAGCTTTTTGAGTTTCATGTTCATTTTTTTTCTGTCTATCATCAAAATCAAAATTTACTAACTGTAATTTTTTTAATTTTCTAATATAAAAGAGATTGTAATTTAAAAATAAAAAATTATTAATATTAATATTTAAATTTTAAATTTGTTAAATAATGACTCTTTGATATGCCTAGATTAATTAATCGAATTAGTTTTGGATTCTCAAAATTTTCAATTTTACTTATTTGTTTGTACGATTTTTTATTGATAAAGAAAACAATATTGTTGTTTTTCTTGTAGCTATCAGTTTGGTGGTAAGCAGCAGTATAAGTATAATGTCGATAGCATGTGGCAGCCATAGCCAAAATGGGGAGGGTGCGCCTTTAATAAATCAAGGCCATCCAATTAAATGAAAGTCTCACTGTCAAATGATGGATTAGATAAGATTATGTTGAGTAGGAGAAATAGATCCATCAAAGGGGGCATTTCAAGTGAATCGAATGGCTAAGAGTTTATTAAAATCCTGGACCTAATGTAATGTCCTTGTCACTGTTTTTCTTTCCTTGGAGACGAGGATGGTTGCTCAAAAAGAAAAACCAAACTGCAAAGGCATGATCAAAGGGCAAAAGAAAAGCATAGGCTACCCATGTCATTGGCAATGGTCACCCAGGTTAATATTCACTCCGTAAAACACAAGGGAAATGCATAAGCTGAGCCGATTGAATAATAAATTAAAAGTTCTTCCTGTTGAGCACATGCAATTCTTTATCTTTTATATTTGGCTCTGATGAGAGGCAATGACAGGAAGGGTGGGAACCCAAAAGAGAAACTGGTGTTTGGTCCACTCGCTACGCCTGCAAATGGATAGACAAGAAAGAAAGCCAAAGCTTTCCCTCCCATCACTTGCTCAATAACACAGTCAGATCCCACTTTGATGATAAGTTCGCTTTTACCATCCTGCCATGGCGAATACCAACAAAGAAAGGCAGATAGATTTTTCATCCTAATTATGAGAGAGAGAGAGGGCACTTGTGGACTTGGCTGCTTTACAACGCAAACGCAGGGGTGTGACGAATCATCAAATAATTGGTCCCACCCCTCAATATAGGAAAATCTATATTGCTAGTCAGAGCGCAGACTCCAGAGTCCCCAGGAGCTAATTCAACTAAAGCATAAGCTCAAACATCAAACGCCTCTAACTCCATTAAATTTTTCATGAACTCGAGATGCAACAACTCGAAACACCAAAGCAAGGACATGAAAAATGATCAGGACCATCCATTTTCAGTCTTGGGATTCTCGTGGATGTAAGATGTAACCCCACATTGTGGAGAGGGCCCTGCAACGTGTACTAGTTCAACACTTTCCACACATATTAATGGGATTTCCGGTCAATTGATCATTCCACGTTCTAGGGGGAGAAAGGGGAAGAAAATGAAAAAGGAAAACTGAGTCTTGCTAAAGTTTATGGTCCATGCATATGGCCTTTTATTACCCTTCTCACATTGCTAACAATAACAATAATAAATTCAACAGTCAGGTGCTACCACAACACATCTGAAAATAACAAACATGGAGAAAAAGAGAGAGATGTGCAGGTCTGGGATTTTGGCTCTCACAAAGCTATTACTTAAACTACAACTTTGATCCAAATGAGAAGACTATCTTTTAGAGAGTGGATACATGCTTCTGCCTTATGCTTTCTTTGCTGCAAGCAAGGAAAAATAGATCCAAATCCACCCATGTTGATCGTCTCTAAATCTCCAATTCTTCAACAACCTTCTCATATCTTCAGGATAAGGCAACTTGTCCTCAAAACACATATATCATTGCCCCTTCAAATAGTTCAATTGTCCCTCCTCCCTTCTCTTCCGGCTAACTTTCTATTATGATAAAATGAATATGAAAACAAAAAGAAAATAAAATTTAAATGAGTACAGCTAGAACAACATCCAACGGTTTGATAACTTACAAAGACATCCTTTTTCTGCTCCAATCCCCCTTATCCAAAGTCCTTCAAAAGAACCAAAGCAAAGATGAACTGTTGTCCTTCACTGCGGGTCTGCTTTCAATGCCAATGTAACAGCCCAAGCTTGAAGCAGAAAGAATTTACTCAACTTTCCTTGATTGGGACTGCTGGGAATACGGGTTATTTAAAAGATGCCCGACAAATCAAAGTTCCCTGTGAAACAGTTTAAACTTGTTTGGTATCCAACATGAGAACAAATGAACAGCTTCCTGCACCACATTTGCTTACAAGATGGTGACAGATTTAGGTGCATCAATCCTTGGCCCTTCAAGAGACCGATACATGTATAATGTTCCAACAGAGTCACCCATCTCCTCCTCATCAGCAGACCTAATCACTTCAACCACTAGGCGACGCGTAGCATGAGCAATCTCCTGGCAACCTCGGCGAGTTAGTTTACAGGAGGACATCCAAAGGAACCTCATGTTGTAGTAGTGATGCAAACCAGAAAGCAGAGCTGCATCCCCAAATGGGCTATCCCTAATCTCAAGCTTTTGCAATTGTGGGCAGCCCTTGAGCACATATTTCAGCCCCATGTCACTATCTCCGGCAAAAGCAACTGACAATGTGCGTATTAATTTCCCATATTTTCCAATATAATCAAAAGCTTTATCTGTCAGTAAACCAGATACAGCAAGGCGCGTAAGCTTCTTACAATTCATAACAATGGCTCCAAAACCATCATCCATAGGAGCTCCAGTCACAGCATCAGGCCTGTGACGCTTCATTATGCATAGCCGGAAAACAACAAGATCTGGACAGTTCTTGGACATTGCTATGACAGCAGCATTAGTCATCCTCTGGCAGAAATACAGAATGGATTGCAATTTCCGACAACCCTCAGAAATAGCTTGGAGGCCCACTTCAGAAACGGGGCTATCACTATCCTCATTAGCATCGATAGGGAAAACCCGAAGCTCACGTAATTCCTTGCATGTTGCAGCCACTGCTTGAAGTCCTTCATCACATATTGAATCAAGGACCTGCGTAAACAAAGCTGAGGTAAGCTTCAAAGCCCTAATTTCTTCACATAGCTTATAGAACAAAATATAGAACACATACCCAGAAAACCTGGAGCTTGTGGCAGTTCCTTATAATTGGCTTAAGCTGTTCTGTATTGATGTTGGCATAGCTGAAATTCAGAGATGTTAGATTTGCACAAACAGGGTAAATTGCGGGCAGATAATTTGGAATTATTTCCCTAAATCCAGAGAGACAAACTAAGGATCTGCAGGCAGCAAAAGCAGTTCGATAATCAGGTTCTTGATCACCTTGCCCTGCAACCTCCAGCGGGCTAAATGATCCTGTCCCAAGGTGTGTGACCTGCGGAGCTCGAATCATCAGGTGATATAGCTGCCCAATTGAAACATATCGGTTTAGCCTAAGTTTCTTAAGTGAAGGAGACCTAGCAACCAGCCTTTCCAATGCCTCGAAATTTATCGGGCATTCTACACAATCAAATATCAATGACTCAAGATGAGATTCACCCTCAGGAAAATAGGATATCCAATCTGTCTCATCATCTGTAACCTCAGATTCGATCAGATCAATCACCCTCAGCTGTCTGCAATTATAGAAAGACATCAATCAACTATCCATGCAATTACAATCTCAAACTCCCTTTTTCCCTTTTTTCCATTGATTATCACAACACATTACTTAAACTCAAACATTTTCACATCCCAGTCCATATACAGATCAAGGAAAACCATAACAGATCTAAAAACATTCAATCTACAAACGTAACCATCAGATCAAACAAAAATCTCAATACCCATACCAAATAAACCAATAATCATTACGCTTAACGCCTTAAACAGATCTAATCGGCCAGTTACTTGTAAATACGTAGCATTATCATCGGCAAAATTAGTTTTTTAAAAAATATTAAGAACAATACCTGCACTTGCTAACAAAAACAGCAAGGCCACTAGTTCCAAACCCATCACAGCAAACGAGAACGAGCTCCTTAAACCCTGAAAACGACTCGGCCAGCGTCACCAAATCATCATCCGTCACGGTCATGCGCTTCAGGTAAACTTTTTCCAGCCAAGGGTAAGCCCTGGCCATCGCCAGCACCCAAGGACCGAAGTGGGCCCCCCAATCGTGCGGCATCAGGTTAAAATCCGCGAACCTGGGCTTCCCCTTCAGGTGAAGAGCCCTCACCCTGATGAACCTGGCCGTCGCCCGACGCGGCGAAACCGCGTAGCAGTTCCCTATGAACAGCTCGGATCGCGTCAGTGCCTCGACCCGGTACCACGACTTGCACACCAATGAGGCGGCGTTTCGATCCCGCCTCGACGTCACGAAGTGGAGCACGTTTTCCAACACGTTCTCCAGAACCTGGTCCGGGTACGGCGGCTGGAACTCCGGGTGACCCGACCCAGACCCGGTGGCGTTACAGTTCCGTGCCTTGTTGGAAGTGAACTCAAGATCTGATGGAGGAGATTGCTGCTTTTCGTCGTCCTCAGACATTTGCTCTGCCCAGTTAGGACGCATGAGAGACAACAAAAGGAAGAGAAATAAGACGAGTTGGCAGTACACGCGCGGCCTCTATGATCTAAAGACGATCTTCCCTTCCTTTCTTTTGTTTTTGGGGTTAGGTTTTCCTGATCGATGAGATTGAGATTTGAGTTTCTTAGATCATGGGAACATGGTTTAAATGTAAATGAAATACTTTATATTTTAAAGCTTTTTCTTTTGTGGGTGTTTTTGGTAAGAGATGGAAAGGGGGGGGGGGGAGTGATTGGGGGAAACAGGGTAGGAAAGGAAAGATGGGGGGATATAGAGAGAGGGAAAGAAAGAGGAAAGGCAAGTAATTTAGTTTAATAGATCAGAGAAAGAGAGAGAAGCGAGAAAGTGAACAGTAGACAGTGCTGCCTCTGTTTTCTCTTTCTTCTGAGCATTGGGATTCTCCATGCCTCTTCCCTCCCTCTTTCTCTCTCTCCTTTCATCTGCATTATCCAATGACTCTCCAGTCTCCACACTTCTCCATTATTTGGGGGGTTTTCTTTTTTACAAGCTTTTGTCTTTTTAATTTTTTTTTAAAATAAAACAATTTTTGTTGGTTTTAGACAGTAGTAAGCAAGTACTACTGTAGTTTTTTTTTTTTGTCAACTGGTGTGAAAACTTGTTTGGGTTTTGTTGAAGAACCCTTGCTCTTTCATTTATTTGTAGACAACTCCTTTCTTTTTTGTTTGTTTGAGTCTTGATCAATTTTATTTCGAGTTGAGATGCCAAGTTTATTTTAGTATATTTGAATGATGATTCATTGAATATTTATATTGCATGCATTGTTTGCATAATATTAAAAATATTTTCATTTTTAACAAGCTAAAAATTATTATACTATTTTTTAATTTACCAAATGATTTCATGTATGAATCTAACTTATCTTACAAAAATCATTTTAAATCTCTAACCAATGAATTATTAAAGGAATAAAATGTTCATAAGATAGGAGGAGAAAAATGTTTCATTTATACATTGTCAACTAAAAAAATCATAACAAAAAATTTGAGATTTAACTTAAATAATTTATACAATTATTTTTAAAAAATAACATCTAATAAATTTATATTTTAATTTTAATATTTATAATTTTCTATTCATAGATTACGGTCTTATTTTAAAAAAATCACAACAAAATAATTCTTCAAATTTTATTCATTTTTTAGACAACCACATGAACTTAATTTATGCATGTTGAGAAATTATAGTGTAATCTTTTAAAATTTATGCTTCTCGTATATGTTTATTGATGAAATGGTAGTCAATTTAAACATAATAAATTGATTTTTTTCAGCAATATGGTTATGGCATGAATATTTTTCTTCCTTGAGGTAGGATGAAATTAGGAAGTAACAAAACAATGGAGTTATTTTGACTATAACTGGAAAATAAAGGACCAATTTGAAAATAATCCCTTCTATATTAATATCCCTACGCTTAATGTACAAAGCACGGACCAATAGCAAAGCAATAAACAGTTGGTAGTGACCGAAGCTTCGAGGGGGGGGGGGACTGCTATAGGCAAAGGCTGACGGAGTCTACTTGGCAGAGTCAGTTCTTTTCCCTCTCCACGCGCTCTTTACCCGCGTGTCTCCCCTTTTTCTCTTTCCCTTTTCTTTTTGTCCAGCAAAGAGGCATATTAATTTTAAAAAAATAAAAGAAATCAATGATAATAATAAGTACAATAACCCTAATTTGTCCTTCCTTTTACACTTTCGATCAAATCTTTTGCCCCATTGCCCTTTTGTCTATATATCTTTTTTCACTTGTAGGTAATTTTTTAATGATTATCCAACTTTTTAAAAATCTTTTTCTTTGTTTTTTAACTTATTATGTAAATTTACCTAAAAAAGAAGAAAGGATTTTTTTTTCTAATAGTTGTTTTTGGTTCATTGTGACATCTTAATTTGACTACAAATGTTGAAACATTCTTCCCTTTTTTATCATGAATTGACTCTTAGCTTTTGGCAAAAAAAAAAAAAATTCATCTAATTTTTTTAAAACCTAAGTGATTAAATTTTAAATATTTATTTATAAATAGGTACCATTCATAAAATGATAGACCTCATTATTGAATTTATTCAATAAATTTTTGCCATAACAGGGTGACAAAGTTATTGGTACAAGTTGCATTAGTTGCTTTTGGCCTAATTGTTATTAAGTTTTTTTTTTCCCTTAAAAAATTATACATTATTTTTGTTACTTTTGCAATTGAAAAATACCCTCATTTCAAGAGGCTACATTATAGATTACAATCTTTGTCATTTGGTTTTCTAGTACTTGGTGATAATTTCTTGATTTGATTGGTCAATAACATTTATTGGAAGTTACCTTCATTTTTAGGGTTAGATTCAATTCTTAGTATTATTCTAAATTCTTATATGGAAAGTGGAAATCTAAAAGATTGATGAGCTCTATGCTAATTATAAGATAGATTATTATTTTCGTTAGTGAAGTTTTTAAATTTCACCATTAATGTTAAAAATTATCAAATATATTTTTATTTATTATGTTAATTTATTCATTTTTAAATATATTTTAATGGGATATGGTGCAATCTCCTAATTTTATTAATGGAGGGGTCATTTGATTTGGATAATCTTACATTACTATCCGAAATCTTTGATTTAATTAAATATTTGCAAGAAAATATTACGTGTATAGATAGTTTGAGAAGTCATTACTGTTTTTTTTTTTTTTTAAATAATAAACTTTTTGTTGATCAATGTAGTTGTATATATGTTTTAACCATTTAAATTTGTGTTTGTGTATGCTTAATGCATAGGAATTGTGGCATTATTTTGAGACTTAAATTGTAGATTTCTTTTCAATTAGTACTTAAAATGTATCATTCATTATAGAAAAACATATAAGTTAGAAGAATTAGCAGGAGATATGATATTAAATCAAATCGAAGATGTAATCAAATTAAGATTAGTGGGATAGATGAATGTTACTTTTGATTATGTAAATCGAGTAAAAATTAAGAGTTAAATAAAGATATATTCGGAACATAAATATTAAAACAGTTATACATGTTTTTATGGTAGTTTTACTGCTTTTTGGATAATGAACATAATGCCTAATAAAAAAAATATAAAGACAAACCTTAAACATGCCATGCTTAATAGAAAATGAAGATAAAATCTAATTGTTAGTGCTTGACTATTTAATAGTGCAAGATCTTTATTTTTTTATCTTCTTCAAAATGAAAGTTGCAAAAGGTTTTATAAAATTTGTCATGGGACACCTCAACAACCAAAAATTAAAATATTATTACATGCCATAAACAAAATTAAGACATAAAAATGAGGAATCTTGAAATGATTAAGGTTTTTAGTGGTAATGTTGGTTGAAGCTTTGGATTAATGATGGTTCTTCAAAAAGATGCAACGAATCTGTGACATAATGTTGAATTTAAACCCCTAACCTTTCAGTTCGCTAATGTTTGCAAGCACTTTGGAAAGCCCATGTGATTTTAGCCGCAAATTCACAGTTCCTGTCTGTAATTGACATGGAAATTTTGGATCCTTTCTTAAACAAAAGCATCACAATCTTTATGTTTATTTAATTAATCTTATAAAAAAATTATATATGCTGAAATATGAAACTTAAATTTATTAAATGTAATTATTAAAGATAATTGAATGAATTAATTAAATTAAATTAAAATTTAGATTTTTTATTTGCTTTTTCTCTTTCTTCTAGTTTTTGGTTGTGAAATGACAGAAATCTATGCCCTACTAAAAATATAAAAAGACGGAAAACTATGAATGACTTTGATAAATCCAAACATGCTCCAGAGCTTTAAGCTTTGATTTTAATATATGTCATATTTGCATATTCCCTTTTATGCTGAAGATCTGCTCTAGATATTTGTGAATCAATTCTTTAATAGACAATAGTGGTCCATTTTTATTTGAATGAAAAGAAAAAAAAAATGCTACAAATTTCTTTTGAAAATAGTAAGGCTTAAATTACTAATTTATCAATATCAAAACAAACACTGGGTCTTACATGTTGGGGGTCATTGTGAGTTTGTGACGATTGTTAATGGGGTTAGTCTTTTTTTTTTTTTTTGTCTGAAAATATCTTAATAATCAAATGTGAAAAAAATGACAAAACAAATGGGGGAAATAAGAAAAGATTGTTGATTCTCATGGCTTTTTTTATATATAATTTGGGGAATCTTTCCTTCATTTCTTTTAGTACTTTAAAAAATTTTACTTGTAACCAAACAATTTCACCATGAGCAAAGCAAATAGTATCATGGAATAAAAGGGGGGTAGCTTCCTCCCAATGCATCAAGATAGATGCAGTATTAGATGTAAGCACTTGATTCCCATAGGAAAACATAGTTGACTAACTTAAATATAAAAAGTTGGATTTCCACTTAATGTTAAGTAAATGCATTAAATTTTTTTTTATATTCCAATTTCATACATTAAGCTTTTAATTCCATGCTTAAGAGTTGGTTTAGATTGGGGTAAGATAAGATTTTTAAGCTGCCTTGTTCAATGAGGGGTAGAGATTCATTCTCCTCGCATTAGACCTAATTGGAGCCTAAACCGCATTGGTCCTTCACCACATTTGACCTCCTCATTGAATGGGATTTTATTGGATTGAGGTGGTGCATTCAGTGCGGTGAGAATCTCATGCCATTAACAATTGTCTCAATGCATTGGGCATTTCAATGCATCATCAATCCATCTTAAGAAAACATCTAAGAAGTTAGGATTCAAAATTCAAAGTCATTTTGAATGTTTTTCTTCAAATCAATGACAAGAAATTATGTTTTCAAGGCATAAATTATACCTGCCGTTAATTTAGATTCTCTAGTTAGCGTGGATTTAGGTAAGCATAAATTCCGTTCAAAGGGGATGGGGAACAGGATATAATATGTTGATAGTTTTAAGATACCATGAAAGCTCAAACTTAACCAACCAATTTTGGGATAGCCATTGATGGACCATAAAAAATCTTGACATGATCTTGTGTTGTTTTATTTTGTTTCACTCGGTCAGTTTTTTTTTTTTTAATTTATCTTTAAATTTTTTATTTGTATATTTATATAATTATAAAATATATTATATACATAAACTCTTTTGATTCATAACTTTAAAATATCAACTTTAATAATGTGTTAATCGATTTAAATGTCGGCCGTGAGGTGTCGAAGAAGAACAAAGCATTGACATGTTTGCATAATATCTTGGGTTTGATTTAGAATCAGCAGCTGCAATTCTGTTTAAGAGATTTCATTTGGACACTGACTGTTAGGCTGCAGGGTCGGCCAACATGTTGCGACAACAATATGAACTGTCGATCACAACATTGAAAACCAACCATTCCCCATGGAAATTCATGACTTTTCACCATCAAGTTCCCCCATGGGGACATTCCTCTACCCCCATTTGGTGTTAATATGAACACTGAACAATATTTGTTAAAAAAAATCCAGATTGGACCAAGACCTTAATCGACAAACACATTTCAAACAGGAATTTGAACATGAAAGGGTTGCTTTTCAAATGATACATTTGTCCATACATTTCTGAAGATTTCTTTAAGTTTTTTATTCCAATAAGGCAGAAAAAGAACCTTCTCTTTATTGCCTTATATATATTCACTAATCTACTAGAAATTTAAAGAGGAAGAGTGAAATGAGGAAAAAAAAAAAAGTAAAAAAAAAGCATTTGCTTAACAAAGCCATGCTTTTGGGAAATAGCCTTTTCAGCTATGCTCAACGAGACAGTGGGTTTGACAGAATCTCTGACTTAAATTTCCAAAAATGAGGAAAGTTTCTGGACAAAACTTCTAAATATATTTTAATTATGTGGATGTGATAAGTTGAAAGTGTTATAATCTCTCACTGCTGATACAATACTTTAGTAGCAATAGCTTGAAGTGCTGATCCAACTAGCTCGTCGTGATCAATTATTAATCATAAAACTTGAAGCCGTAAACGAACCTTTCAGGTTCAGAACTATGAAATTTTGCAGAGCCAAATTTCTAGTGATTGGAAGCTGCAGGAGGAGCCAGAAGCTGTGCATCTTTGTCCCTGTCAATTTTTCACCACTCAAGTGCTGACAGTTTGTTCACTAACAATTCCACTGCTTTATTGTAGCTCGAGTATGATTTGCGCTAAGCTGTGGCCTGTTTGATTTATGCCATTAGACTTTAAAGATACCAATCATTCTTTTGTGTCAACCCCAAATTGAGGCTGACAAGCAAATTGAGGTTGACAAGCAACAATTAGGCTAAACTAAAGTACTGGTTTTGATTAAATGATGCACCTCTTGAATAAATATTTATTAATAAAGTTATCTGCAAATAACTCATATGCTATGTTATTTTCTCACTGGTTTAGGACGAAGTGTTTATCGTAGGATGAGAATGTCTTTACCTACTGTTTTAAGATGCACAAAGAAATTAATTTTCATTTTAGTTATTTTAAGTATTACGAAAATAACAATAAATAAAATCAAAATTTTAATTTAATTGATATATAATTATTTTTAAAAAATAATATTTAATATTTAAAATTTTTTAATTTTAAATTACAATCTCTTTATATCAAATAGTGATAATAAATAATATTCGATCATTTTATTTGATTTATCTTTATTAATAAAAAATATAAAAAAAATTATTTGATACACTAACATTAGAGATTTTAATTTCATAAATAGAATTAAGACAAAAACACATTTTTTTATATATTTAAAAAATTAAATTAAAAAATAAAAATATATTATTATTTTAATCTTATTTATAAAATTAAAAAATTTCACTATTAATATATTAAATAATTTCTCAAAGTCATATTCCAATCTGTGCATCCTCTAGCGGTAGACAACCATGAGATTCAAATGTATGTAATCAAGGAGCCCAATATAGACTTATCGGCATGCTACTTTACCAGAAAAGGCCCAAAGAGAAACGTAGTCTTGATTATAAACGGGCGTGGTTAAATTCAACAAGAAACCCGTACAATAGTGCAACAACCATATTGAGCAACCAATGAATAAGTGTAGGGGGAGAAAATCTTTTTCAGATTGAAATTTGAAGCTCCTTTTGGAATTGTAGGAAGATATCCAGCTTATGTCTTTTGTTGAAGAAGATTCCGCTCGGGTATGGCCGTACGGGAAACTTGGAACTTTGTTTACGACCAAAAACAAGCAAGTTGTATTGTATCATCCGTCATTTCTTACAAGCTCATTAGAAATCCAATAGGGTAAATGTTAGTAAATAGGATCCAAAAGTTTTAGTTTAAATTTGCAATATTACATATACAATATACAAATGGCACGTCAAAACATAATATAAACATAATATAGTATAATTAAATCAGAAATCATAAATGTTTTTTAGATGTTAATATTAAAATAACTCAATCTATTTAATTTTGCTCTTAAGTTAATTCACTTCAAAATATATTTTAGAGAGCTAAGTGGTTGAATTTGTTACCTCCAATATCTCATATAAATGTTTATATTAATTTTTTTATATTTAAATTTATTAATATATTTTTAAAAAAATTACACCATTATTTTCAAATGACAGTTGGCATATGACTTTTTTTATTTTTAATTTATCCTTAATCTTCAACTCTTATATACTTAATTCACTTGAAGAAAATTACACATTAATTTCCTTCAATTCATAAGTTTTAAAAAATTGATCAACATCTATGTATGAATTAATGTTCAAATGGTGCATACGATGAATATTAAATGTGTAGAATTTCAGTTTCAACACAATCATCTTACTTAATGTTGCTAATTCGTTGATTATTACAAAAATTACGTGAATCTTAAGTCGATTATCGAAATTATCGATAAACATTTGTCCTGTCCAATGTTAGGCAAGAACTCTATTACAGAAGATTAATGTTTGGGCTCGCGTTATGGTCGAAGAGGAGAAGTGAAAACCCAGATCCAACCCACCCGACCGCATGTCGGTCATTCGTCAATCGTGTGGCCAACTGGTCCCTTCAAAATTCAAATTCAAATTCTAAGTCGAGACATAAACATGAAAACTAACGGCAGCATCTCAAACCTCGAAACCAAACTCCCCACAACGAATAAATTCTCGAAAATTCCTTCACGATTTTGACCCCTCCCCCGATGTTAGCTTTTATTAATCTGATCCAAACACACAGAAATCATGAGCCAGCGCCGGACCGATCATAACAAAATCCACGAAACCAAACAGTCGACGACATCCTCGGAGTCAAACCAGCCGGCAACTATCTCTTCTGATTACGCTCCGTTCCCCAAATTAGACCCGAAGGACGTCACTTCTCCACAGGAGAATTGGACCAACGTTTCCATGGGTTACCAATCGCAGCCCAATCCAGGTGCAGCACCGATCTCTAGCAGCGCTGCTACCACCATGCCAGCTGTGTCGAATCCTTTCGTTTCCCCGGCTCCAGTTCAATCATCTTCCGTCAAGAGTAACCCACTTCCAACAACTCCAGTTACATCGGTTTTTACTAAATTGGATTTTGAATATCTTTTGAATTCTATTTAAATTTAAGCCCTTTTTTTGGGCAGATAAGATGGAATCAGTGAAAGATGTGTTAGGGAAATGGGGAAAGAAAGCGGCGGAGGATACTAAGAAGGCGAAAGTGATAGCTGGGAACATGTGGCAACACTGTAATTATTTCTCTCTTTTAATAATTACCCTTTTTTCCCCTGCTATTTTTGTACTAGATATGATTATGGATAATATGAAGTATGATAAATAAGTTTGTTATTTTTGTTGCAACAGTGAAAACTGGGCCGAGTTTTGCTGATGCTACTGTAGGAAGAATTGCCCAGGGTACGAAAGTTCTTGCAGAAGGTGGATATGAGAAGATCTTTCGGACAACATTTGAGAATGCTCCTGAGGAACGGCTTCTGAAGACATATGCCTGCTATCTGTCCACCTCGGCTGGTCCTATTATGGGAGTTTTATATCTGTCAACTGAAAAGGTTGCTTTTTGTAGCGACAATCCTCTGTCTTACCAAGTTCGTGGTCAGACTCAATGGATCTTTTATAAGGTATACCAGCTTTTATTATGTGATGATGTCTTTCAGATTGTTGCATCTGCAACTAAGAGCTAGGGTCAAATTGATCATAGACTGATGCTTCACATTAACAATGAAGTTAATGCCGATTTTTTATGGTATAATAGAGAAGTTTTAGATTTTTCATTCTTTGGCAGTTTCATATATTGTTTAAAGATATGAATTATGAATTTTTGGATCCCTTTCTTGATTTACATGTTTAGGAAAATATTTTATGCACCATATTTGATGGCTCTATGGGGATTAGTGGAGTACTTGAAGTTGACAATCCTGGATGCTTAATTACATAGAGGCTGTACTTTAAATAACCTAGATTCTTTTTGCATCCGCAGTTATGCCTTTAGTTATCCCTGTTATTTGGTAAAATTCTGTGGTCCCCTTGTTTCATAAGGTCTTCACTCTTCACCACCTTGTTAGACTTGTTCTCTAGCATGCTTCGATACCTGTAGTAGTTTCTAGTTAATTGCTTTGTAGTTGAGGCAATGGTTACTTGAACCTATTGCAAAGCAGAAGTTGGTAATGAAAATGATGGGCGGTTTGGACCTTAATTAGCATTGTTAAGGTAGAATATTGTGTATGAGATGGATAGGGACATTATATTGCATTTGTTTGAAGTGTCACTGTGATATTCCTTCGGTTCTTATACTCATCCATTGTTGGTGCATTGTAAGTAGATAAATAACGTTCTCACTTTTGCTAAATTTAATTGCTCGTATGATTCTAAGGAACCCAGTAAAAAGCCATTCTATAATAGTTGACCTAAGCCTAGTCAAATGAGATGTAAGATCAAGTGATTTTGCCAAATTAGTTCATGTGCCCATGTTAGTAGGATAATTATTCTCTTTGATTGTGTCCTTGTCAACATGCTCTGGAAAGTTACCGATTAAAATTCTATGATGTAGTGTTTTAACCTTTTTGGATTTATCAGGATCTATGTGTTTTTGATTTGTTAAAAATCTGCTGGCTATTTTCTTATTACACAGATCTGTGCTTGTTTGTGTTAGATAGTATACTTGTCCCTGTTATTTATCTTTATTTAAAAGTTGTCCTAATGGTTATTAATGTGATTTTGTGTCCTCTCCAAACTCGTACTTGTAGGTAGTCATTCCATTAGATCAGCTCAGGGCGGCGAATCCATCTGCTAGCAAAGCCAACCCAGCTGAGAAATACATCCAGATTATATCAGTTGACAACCATGAATTTTGGTTCATGGGCTTTGTACACTATGACAGTGCTGTTAAAAATCTCCAAGGAGCATTTCAGTTCCCTAGCTCATGATGTGATGTTATTAAACTCTACACCATGTGCCAAAAGGTGCTTTGAATTACTAGAATGATGTAGATAAAATATGTTGAACCAGATTTGTAATAGTTGAGATAGCAAAGGTATGTTTTATTTTGCTTTTGTATGGATTGTCACTGTGATATTCATTTGGTTCTTAAACTCATCAATTGTTTAATTGAAAAGGGTATATTTTGGGATTTATTCTGAGATAATGGAACTATTTATTCTTCTTTTCTCAAGTATATTTTGTGAGTCACTATGCTGTGTGCTTCTATACACCCTTGTAATCCGAAGATGCCTAATCCAATATGAATTTGGGATTCCTCTAAAACTTGTACCTGAAAATGATACCTCCAGCCTCTTTGATCATTTGGTTTGGTCCGACTTCCCTGTTTTGGGTTCGCTTCTATTAGTAGATTGGGTTTGTATATTCTCTCTCTTGTTTGTGGGTTTCGATTTTCTCTCCTCCACTCAAATCTTTTTGTTCTTTTCCCTCGTTTCAACAACTTGTACCTGTTACTGTTGGAAAGCAACGAACAATGAACATTGGGTATCTAAAAAGCATGCAAGACAAATAAACAAATACAAAAGCCATCATATTTGAAGCTTAGTGGCAACTTGCAAGGATCTCCCACTCAAAAAGTGTAATGCAACCTGCTGGGATGGCAACGCAACGGTAAGGAAAGAATCTTTATAATCATACGCTCAGATTATTATGATCATTATGGATTCCCATTTTAGCAACAGTGCATCATGACCAAGGGCCCAGTTTGCTGACAAGGTCGAAGTTGGTGCTTTTATTGGCCCAAATGTGTTGGAACCGACAGATCCATTAGTGGTCCAAAACCTGGCCGAGGACTGGATGTTGTGTCCAGGCCAGCTTGTCTGTCTTCATCTTAACTGGCAAACCTGAAAGAGGGAAGAGACACCAATTTTATGGCAGATGATACTTCTTGATTTACATTGCAAATTTTTAAGTTTTAGTTTGTCGTTTTTTCGGATAATTATTATATGATAATTAAAAAAAATTATAAGGGATAAAACTTGGAAGGCAGTAAAATTGCGTAAGTGATAAATTCTTGGAAGGGCAGTAAAATTAAATCCTAGCTAGGTAGGGTTCAGAAAACGTACTATATGCTATTTTTTAAATTTTAAAATGCCCAAATTTTTTCATAAAACTTGATCATTTAGTATCCTTTAAAGTTTTTTTAAATGAAAAAATCTTTTGATAAAATATTGAAAATTTAATTTTAATTATGAAAATTTAATCTTGGATGCTCTCAAATATATATTAAAAAAGAAGAATAGAAAGTATCCAATAATTATTCTTTCCTCGTGAGGACGTGCTAGTTTTTGTGTTTTATGTCTAGAATAATTGAGAAATATTTTTATAATTATGGTATAAGAGTATTGTAACAAATAATGATAAGAAAAGAGGTATTTTTATAATTATGATATAGTTAATTTGGTCATATGTTAATTTTTTATCAAATAATAAAAATAACATTTTGATAATTTATTAGGAAAAATATTATAGTAAATAATTATAAAAAATATATATTCGTAATTATAATATAAGGATATAATAATTAATTTGATCACATATCAATTTTTTATTAAATGATAGAAAGAGTATTTTGATAATATTTTAGGAAATATATTATAGTAAATAATTATAAGAGAATTGATATTTTCATAATTATGTATAAGAGTATAATAATCAATTTGATCATATGTCAATTTCTTATCATATAATAAAAAAAATATTTTAATAATTTTTTAAAAGATTAATTAGTAAATAATTTTTTATTATATAATAAAAAGTAACGTGTCATTTTCTCATCAAATAATGGGAAGAACTGTTTGATAATTTCTTATAGGATTCTTCCATATATTGTATAGATATTTTTGCTACTTTCTCATGTTTGTTTCTTTTTTATTTTTTAATAGTACTAAAAAATATTACATGGCTGTTGACAATAAAATAAATATATATAATTAGCTAACCTAATAAATTTACCAAAACTTGCAAAACTTGGTTCCTTTGCATTGAAACTGAAACAGTTACATATTTAAAAAAAAAAAAAAGAAAAAGAAAGTATATAAGGCTAATTATAGTAAGTAGATTGGATAAAACGAAAAAGTGAAAGAAAAAACAGAGGGTATTTGTTTATTTATTTAACATAGTGGGGCGGCTGGTGTGGAATGGAAGATCATGAAATGAATAGAGATGGATATTATATTATAAGTATGAGGATAAAAATAAGTAATATAGTATTTATTTTATATTTGTATCGCACATATATATATATTTATATATATTTAATATATAAAATTTTTATTAAATAATATAAATTATTATTTTAAATTAATTAAAATTAATATATTTTTATTTAAAAATATATATTAATATATATTTATAAAAAAGTAAAAAAAAATTAGTTTTTGATTTAAAAAAAAACGATAGGTATGAAGATTATTCATATTCATTAAATATTCATAAAAATAAAAATAAAAATAAATTTAAAATACTTATTAGATATAAATAAAAAATAAATATAATATAAAATTTAAACATAAAAATTAAAAAAAAAAAAATACTCAACCATGCCAATATTCTACCCGATAACATCCCTCTAAACAAACACAGATTAAGAAGGGAGGTCTCTGAGACAGAAACAAGAACAGCATAGCTATAATGTCAGTGCAATTAATATCGTTCCCGTTTTACTTTCGTTTGGAGATAGAGAGCCCACATGTCCCTTAACAGGACAACCCAAAAGCAAGACCCAAAGCTCTTTGAAACTCTTATTTCCGACAGCTTCAACTCTCCACTATACTATCTGCTCTTTACTCGACTTTCTCCAACATCAAACATGTTGAGTTTCTTCCCCACATATATTTATATATCTTCTCCTTTCTTTTTCTCCTGCAAAGATATCTCAAATTCTTCTTATTTTGAACCCCAATTTTTTTCATTTAGATTTATTTAAACATTATTGTTATGGCATTGATTAAAAATTAAATGTATATAAAGGGGGGTGGGATTTTATATTGTTAAAAGAATTAATGCAGGTATATTAAAAGGTGTTTTACCGTCCCATCCACGGGCCTTGAGTCAGAAGAAGTCTGAATTATGTCTGCAACACTGCAATAAAACTGCCAAAGACTGTGTGCTTCACTGCCAATGTTAATAACCACTCCAGAATTTAATTTCTTCTCTGTTCCCCTTTAGATATTTGTTTTACTATAAAAATCATCAAGAAAACGAGGTGAAGTCATGGAGAAGATGATGACCTAAGATTATATATAACAAAGAAATTAAAAGGAAAGAGAAAAGTTTCTGCAACACAAAAGGCTGTATATAATCAAGCTTGATGAATAATTCCCACTAAAGATTTGAGGGTGACAAAAAAAAAAAAAGGAAAAAGAGAGATTATTAATGGAAGATGAGTAATCAATCAACTTTTGTTCATGGTGATTTTGAGGATTTGTTCAGCTAAAAAGACGTGTCTAGAGTTTGCAAATGTAGGTTGGAAGAAATTAATGCGAGAGAGAGAGAGAGAGAGAGAGTAAAGCATGTATTAAAAGCTTAAGCGGTTAGAGATGAAGAGGGAAAGAAAAGGAGCAGGTGACAGATGTAAACAGACGTAGAAAATTTTGCAGCTTTGCATGACTAACACGTTTTAATTCGAATTGGAATTACTCTATATCACCATCCTTTGATGATGAATGATGATGATCATGTTCACATGACACTAACTTACAAAACCCTTACTTTAATGTATAGCAGCAGGCAGAAGCTAGATGCCTAATTCCAAACTGAAATTGTCACAGAGAATTGGAACCATATGTAGGAGATGAAAATATGGATTAAATTAAGCAGTGAAAATGATAATTCTAATGTACTTAAAAACTCTTAAAATCAAAATAAAATTAAACAACAGTTAGAGGAGATGCTTAGTTTGGAGTGAAAGCACTGACAGGAACAACACTTGTATGAATTGTCCATGCAAATTCAATTCTTTGTCAGATTAAAATTATTATGATTGAGGCATATAGAATCAGATTATGTTTGCATTTCTCGGACCCTAAATAACTTTTTTTTATATATATGATTCTTTGCTTTATACTTAAATTGGCTAAAATAGTTTTAATGATATAATAAAAAATCTGTTTTCTTATATCTTTTGATAAATAAAATTATTTGCTTATGAAAAAAAAAAAGATGCTTAGTTTGAGCAATGGCCCGTTAACAACAATGTACTAATCAGAAACTTCAGGTCATCATCATCCTACACTGAGCAACTGATAAAATAAAGAAACTAGATAAAAATCAAAATCAGCTTGAAAAAACAAAGGAAAGAAAGAAAAAAAGTGAGAACCCTAGTTCAATCCCTACTAAATTCACATCATGATTTTCTTCATTTCCCATTATCTCATGCTTCTTTAATGTTTTCCTTCTTCTTCCCAAGTAACAATATTGAAGCTGTTGTTCTCATTTTTGTTGAAAATTATTAGGGTTTCTTACCAAGAGTGTGCTTGTTGTTGTGCATCCAGATCTTAAGCACATGCCTTTTCAAACCAGTTTCCTCACAAAATTGCTCTACAGCAGTTTCATCATGCTTCTGAATCCTCCACCCGAGCCTTTCAGAGAAATCCAGCATCTTATCTTTCTGTTCGGGCGTAAATTTTGTTCTAAACCTCTTCTTTAATCCTCCACTGCCTCCACCTCCACCGCCACTGCTACTAGGATTCGAAACATCTTCATCTTCTCTGCTGTAACCACCAGCAGTAGCACCCCCACCACCCCCTGACGCTGCAGGCAAGGCCAAAGGCCTGTGCTGTGGAGGTGGCGTCAGGTGAAGATACCCCGCTGGTGGCGGCGCCCTATAGAAGGGTGAGAATTGGGGGTGGTGCTGCTGGTGGTGAGGGTTATAAATATTACCTTCACCCTCAGTTTCTTTACGGTGAAAGTTTCTGTGGCAATTACATGCGGCACATTTCAAGGCGTCAATGGTTCCTTCATCACCCGCGGCTATGAACTCGCCGCAGCCATCCACAGCGTGGCCTCCAATACTCACGGCATGGTTCTTGAGACACTCACGGTACCTTATCATGGACCCCACTTTTCTCGTTGCTGCTGACGCCGCACCCTCACCACTTCCGCTGGCGGGTCTCATGTTTGACCGAGCTGCTGAGGAGTTGCCCAGTGAGTCGTAGCCTGGTGGAACAGCCATACCCATTTCTTCCTCTTGTTCTTCATGTTCATCAAAATCCATTTCTTTTTTTTTTCTCACTGCCCTCTCTTTGTTTTCTCTTTTTTTTGTCCCTTTCTTTTCCTTGGCCTTGTTTTGTTGATAGAGTAAGATCTATATGGCCAGGTTAATTCAGCAGATCCAGCATCAATAAAAAAAGAAGAAGTTAGTTTAAACAAATAAAACAAGAGATTTTGAGAGTAAATTTGTTGTTTTAGCTGAGAAGAGAAGATAAGAGAAGAGAGAAGAGTGTGGCCATGAATTCCCAGGTCTGCAAAAATAGGTGTCTTACTCGAAAGCTTTTCATGTGCTTTCCATTTCGTGAAACAAAATAAGTAAAACAATTTCCCTCTTTTTCTTTACCCTAACCATGGTGTTTTTTTCTTTCTTTCTTACAGTAAATTTCCAGTTTTACCTCTTGTTAATTGTCTTTTTCCTCTCTTATGATCTCTCTCTTTCTTGTGTTCTTTTTTTTCAAGTTTTTGGGTTGTCTGATCTTAGACCTGAAACTCTTGTCTCCTTCCTTTTTCTATTTTTGTTAGGAGATGTAGGGATGGTAAAAGTAAAAAACAAATCCGGGAATTACCACTTATCAGATCGCCACCATATGGCAAAGGTAATGGAAAGCAAAGAGATGTAGTGGGGACATAGCTTGTTGGGTGGGTTGTGTAAAAAACAAAAGGGTTGAAAGGGAGAGAGGTGGTTTTTGGAAACATGGGACAATATTTACTTGGTAATATATTATTGGCTCTCCCATTTTCCCGAAAGTAAAGGAACTCTACCATAACTCAACCAAAAACTTCACAAAATAAAATTCTAAATTCACTATCATTTATTATTATCTCTTTGATTTGTCTTGGTCTTTCATTTAGGCTAGCTGTCCATTAGACATTATCCATATTTTTTTTATGTTGTTAAATGAAAGAACATGTCTAATCATAAACATTCTTAATTATTTAATGTTTATGGATTTCAATAATAGTTAATGTCTAAAAGAATCATATAATATTTATTTGTTTCTCACTTTATATACATACTAGTATGATATCCAAATGGATTTCCTCTTAGTCTAACCATGTTTCTGACACAATATTAGAGATGAATATATGATTTTTATTCGTATAATTGTTCACAAGAGCTTATAATTTTCTTTTTTTTTTCAAGGAGTATATTATCAACTAATCTTGGAAAACCAATGCCAATAATATCAATATTGAACAATAGTGTTTTCACTTCATCAGTGAAATTCGTAATTTTATAGTAGTTATATATACTAAATAAAATAAAATTTTATATTTGATACACCATAAGTATATAGATTTTATATATTATTAATGAATCATATGTTGTCATTTAGTTAATCAGCAAACACAAATTTTACAAGCTCTTAAAATAAATAAACATGAGTTTGATTTTTTAAAATTTTTTCGTTAATGAAATGATATCATATGATTTATTGATAATATATAAAATTTATATGTTAACAATATATAAAATATAAACTCATAAAATAATTAAATAGATGTGTTTGACATTTTGTGTTGTATTATTAATTCTATACCTAAAACTATATATAATACATAAAATCACAATTTATACACTAAGGGTGCCCTACTTGTAATCATGTCGTAGCTAGTTAAATTATAACGAAGGAATAAGTTAGTGCCTAATATAGAATTATATAAGATTTGCAAGAGAGAATTTGGTATTGAAAAGGGTGGAGATTTGTTTTAACATTTGAGAGTGGATTAATTCATAATTTAAATTAAAATTTTAATTCAATTAATTCATATAATCATTTTAAAAAAATAACATGTAATATTTATATTTATTTCTCGTGTCTTGAAACTACAACCTCTTTATAAAAAATATAAGTTCAAAGCTTAGTGTACAAATTTACAAAAGGAAAAAAAATTAATAAATCGATAATTGGACATTAATGCCGGTTGACTATGTGCACAGTGAACCCCATATCCAACAGTTATATGTTACATCATTTGTACAAATCTTTTCATACAAAGAGTTGATAAACCGAAACTCTTTCCTATAACTAGTCTGCACTCTCTTCCCCCTACTCATCTTAGGACAGCAATTTGTAAATTTGAAGCCTGGGGTTGGGTTGGGTTGGGTCGACATTCGACTCTGTGCCAAGGATCACCGTGATCGAGGTCAATCTAAGCCAGCTCAAGCGTGAAACAACCTTGGTTGGTTTGGTCCAAAAACCTAGATTGTTAGACCTTAACCCTAAAAGAAGCCTTTATTAGTTAGTATAAAGCATTTGTTAATACAAACCTTAAATATTGCATAAAATAAGAAGAAATCATGGTTAAGTACCATTTAATCCTTGTTGCATATGAGATAGATAATAATATAGTAAATAGTCATTCGGTTCCAAAATGGTTTGAGTGTTGACTTTCACGAAATTAAAAAAAAAATGTTGTGATTTTAATATATTTAATATTAAATTTTAATTTTTTAGAAAATTAAATTTTATCATTTTTAATATAAAAAATAAAAAATCATAAAAAAAATAAATTTAAAATATAGAATAATTTTACATATTCCAAAAAAAAAAGGACATAATTTTGGAACATTCCAACAAAAAAAATGAATAAAGAAAATAAGATGGAGGGAATACTAATTTACGGAACTTAAATATAATAGTTGGTCTTTGTATATCAATTTAAGTGTTTAAAATATCAGTTATCCAACTTAATATTGTATCAAAATCTTAGAGTTTGAATCATGACAACTGTTTCCTCTTTTAATATTGATCATCTAAATTAACATTAACAATCGTATAAAAAAATTTCAATGATTAAAATTCAATTCATGATATCTTTAATTATCAAAGATAAGCAATAATACATTATTAATCCAATTTTAGTATGTCTTATTTAGATTATAACATTATTATAAACTACTAAAATTCAAACTATATATGAATTAATCTTGAATATATTTTAAATTTCAAATCTCAAAAGCAATGATAAAACGTGGCAAATCAAATGAAATCAAAATCCAACTATGTTTGTTCTCATATGACGACCCCAGATCTTACAAATAATTCACTTAAGCGTGTTCTTCGGGATATGAATCAATAAATCATTGTTGCTTCTTATTCTAGCTAAGTGCATGGTATTGTAGGGCTCAAAAATGTTGATTAATTAATCATTAATCTCTTTGTCCCATATATAACAATGTAACCAAAAAGTTTAAAAGGGTCGATTATTTTTTAAATTAGTTCGTATGTTATTCGAGTTAATATTTAAAGATTATAAATTTGAAAAAATTTAAATGTGTAATATTTTTTTAATTAAGTATATGATATGACAATAAAATTTAAGAGTAGATTAAAAATTTTTAAAAATAAAAAAGCAAAAGAGTCCAAAGGAAAAAACAATGATTAAAGATAAGAAAAAAAATGTTACTATTACTCATTAGAGTATAAAGGATGATGGATACTAGAATTACAAATAATGGTTTTTTTTTTTATGCAGATTGGGGAGTGATGACAAAAATGGTACCAACACAACATCCACGTATTCCACACATATCTCAGCAGGTGGCAGGGTGGGTGTCATGTGATATACCATCGATTTACCATCGATCCATCAACCATCATCATCCGTACCTCAAAATTTTCTTTCTTTTTTTTTTTTTGGCTTTGAGGGTTTGCCAATCCCGGTATATATCTGACGTGACTCTCTCTCACCGTACTCCTGTCACCCTCATGTCAGCTGGCGGGAAACTAACCCAGTCCTTTCTCTGAGACTAGAGAAAGAAACATGTAGATTACATTATTACATTGGCCCTTTTGCTTTTGCTTCAGACAACTTTTAGCTTAATTGTATTAAGCACTTAAAGTTGAAAACCTAGCTTTGGTTTCAGTCAACAGAAAAACGTTGTTCATTTTCCAATCAGTTGTTCATTTCCAATCAGAAAGAATTAAGTGACAATGGGGTCTTACACTCTTTCTCACTTCACGTACACTCTGCAGTCCGTACTTGATATGTTTTTTCCGTTCCGTTTTCAGTAGTAAGTTTTTTTAACAGTTGTCAATTACGGAAGAATCTTTTTAATCAATCGTTCTTCTGTTAGTGGTGTGGGAGTTGAATGAGAGAGAATGGAGGGGGGAAAAAGAAACAGGGATAGCGACAAGACAAGAAAAGGAAAGGGTCAGGGTCTGACCTCGATTTCCATTTCCATGCTTTTTGGCAGCTTTTTCCCCTCTCCTTTCCTCTCTCCCCGGTCCCCTATTCTCCTTCTCTTGCGGAAGAACCTTATGGGACCTTGGCATCGCTAACCATTTTTAATTTCCATATCCCATCCCATCTTTCTTACACTTAGCCCAGGCCCCAACCTATTTTATACGATCAAAAGTCAAGACATAACTCAAACTTGGCATTGACGTTCCTGTAGTTTAATTTTTATGTACAGTCAGTAGTGTAATTTTATAATTTCCAAAGCAGGATTAAAAATTTAATATATTTTAAAAAACATGTATCTTTTTATTAATTTCTTATGTAAAATTTTAAAACTTTATTGATAATTTATAGATATTTTATTTTGTCAAATTTTTTTTTAAAATTTATTGATTTCAATTTTTTATTTTGATTGTACAATTGAGTCTTAATTGAAAAAGTAAATTTTGGGCTCAAATATTAAACACTAAAATATATTATATTTTATTTTTTAGTTTAATTTTTGTAGTCAAAAGAGTCCAAATCAGTTGGTAAAAAAAATTAAAAAAGGGATAAAAATAAAAAGAAAAAAATGTGAGATTTTACATGAAAAATCTTGGATTCAATTCAACTCTTGAATTATATATCAAATTTTAACTTTAATGATTGAATAATTTTGAAAATACATAGAGCTCAATCTATTAAAAAAAAAAAGATTACATAGAGAATAAAATTTTAAAAAAAACTTTAGATTCGATTGAATTAATTTTTTTTCAAATCGAAAGTGATTCAATTCCTATATAAAAAATCTTGAATCTGTGATTAAAGTGGCGACCTCATAGCAGTTCACTTTAAGATCAAGTAAAAGTCATTAAAAAGAGAAAAAATTTAGACAATGTTTTGAATCAATAAGAAAGAAACAATCAAGCAAAAAATTGTAAAAAGATTCAACTGAAGTTTTTGAAAGGAATGCTAAGATTTATAGTAGGAAGTATCAATTTTTGAAAGGTGACAAGTTGTTGGAACTTGTGATTCATTCGGGTAATATTTGCTTTCATTTTTAATTTTATTTTTTTGTTATTTTTTTATAACTTTTATAATATTTAATTACTTACTCTTATTTTTATATTTATTACATAATATTTATTTTTGTTGACTAATATTATATTTGCATGATAATTTATTTGCATAATTTATTAATTTGATTGCATAATTATTAATATATTTATT